AATGACAGGAACAGCTTTCCAAAAACATTTTCTTTCCAGCAGTGGGTGAGAGAGGAGCGTTTTCATTATTAATCTCTAAAGGTGCCCAGTAAATGGTCATGTTTTGGGTATGAGGGACAGTAAATGTCAGTTTGGGGGTCTCAGTCTGCTCATGCTGGTCATCAGAAGCATGGGAGTAATGAGTGACCATTTTTGGTAGCCTCTAAGACATGTTCCTGATGGTTTTCCCACAAAATTCAGGATGCTGGTTAGGGGGGTGCCACTAATGAGGACAATGTCTAGGAGGTGATTGCCTGATGGGATTAATTCCCTGAATTTCACCATAGGAACTGCAGTGTGGCTGGTTATACTAGGGGGGATTGCTGCCAGGCTGGGGTAGCCATAGGTGCTGAATTACAGCCCTAAGAGGTGCTGGGATGTCCTGCTGACAAATGAGAGGGAGAGAAGTTTCTTGGCTTTGACAGGGTCACCACCCAGGAAAAGTCAACACGGAGAAAAAAATCAAGCCGTTGTTCCTCTGAATTGAGAAAATTGTTTCCTCTGGGGGTGTAAATTGATGGGGGGATATTCTGATTTATCAGGTAAGGATCTGGCCTAATGTGCAGTAAAAGCCTCGAGTTTTGGCTGTAACTCAGGGGTTAGTCCTTTAGGTAGTCACACAGGAGGGTTTGCAGGGGGATCAGAAGGTAGGGCCCTTGGGAACCCCAGGAAAAATAAACATAACCCAAAAAGCTGTGAGAGACTGTGTGACAGCCTCTGGTGAATGAGAAGTGACTGAACACCAGGTTTTTCTCTCTCACAGCCATAAAGCCCAGGCTAAGGGGGCTGTCCATTACATCCCTGCCATGGTATCACTCCCCGTGTTTGACAGGGCTCACATGATCTACGAACTGGGGCCTGGTTTTGATTTAGTGCTGTTTATTAACTGAGCAGTGCTGACATATTTTAGTGCAACATATAAAATCTAAGGCTTTTTCCTAAGCTGAGGAAATGAGGTTATGTGACATTGATCCAAAATGGAGGGGAGTATTTTAGGTTTCACGTTAACAGACAAGGGAGCTGAGACAAGGGAAATGCAGTCTTTTCTCCTGCCCTCCCTGCCAAGTCCTCTGCAAATGGGGCAGAAACACCAGGTTTCAGCAAGGTCTGGCTCACATTTAAAACCAGCTGTAAATGTCTTTTGATCATTTTGTCCCGTGTGTGTGTGAAAGATTGTAAGAATCAGTTTAAAACTTAAATTGAGACAATAAGAAATTCAAAATAACGTGTCTGCTTGAGTTATTCAGCTCGGAAAGCAGCTGGACACAAAAGTCCCATGGCTACAGTGAAGGTACAAGATGTTGTCCCTGTTATATGGGAAAAGCAACTGAGGCCAGAGGGTGAGGGAATGGTGATTCAATGGGCAGAGAAGAGGTCGGTCCTTCAGATTTTAGGGCCTTGTGGAATCCCACCAGAGCTGGAAATGTCAGTTAAGGATAACTAGATTAAGGAAATCTAGAGCACACCATAGTGATCTGCAGACAGGCAATGACAGGCCATTAATAGGCCTGGTAATATGGATTTGCATTAACTGTTTGGAGGTGTTTTGTAAGCCCCTTGGCCTCGTGTCAGAGCACTGAGCTGGTGCATTGTTCCAGTGCTGGAGTTACCGTTGTTGGTGTGAGTCCAGAGCTGCTGGGGTTGTGCAATGCTCCCAAGTCCTTGCTTTTCTCCCAGTTACCCTTTGAGTGGAAGTCCTTTCCTTGATTTTGATAACAGCTATTAAATTTGAATGCACCCACTCAACTTTGCTGTGCTTCTCGGAAATAGGGCCAGGGGTTGTGTAACTTCCATTCATCCTTCCATGCAGAGCAGTTAATTTCCATTATTGAGGTTTCCCAACATCATAACAGAGTTGCATTAATGTGGCTTATCTGTGATAGCCAGTGCAAACTAGTGCAGGAAAATCCATGAACAGTGTTTAATTCAGCCTGGTGAGTGAACATTACACCATTATACTCCACTAGTGGCACCATCTCTCAGCCTCCTGCTCCTCCCCACACCTCTCCTGACCTGGGCCCTGGTGCTTGAGCCCCTGTATCTGCTGAAGTTGCCTGTTATGAGTTACAACCATCAGTTACTCTGTGATGTGAGCAAGCTGTGATATAATTTCACTAAATTCCCTCAATTCCCACTATTAGTGTGCAGTTGCCTATTTTTCTCGGGTAGCCAGCCCAGAGCTCACTGGTGCATCTTTCCTTTCCCATCACTCCAGTCACCCCATGAAGAAGGACTGAAGGAGCTCACACGTTGCCCAGTGTAATCTTGCTGCTAGCTGACATTTCTCCTCCTCCTCCACTCATTTATCCCAAATCCCTTCCTTTTCAGATCCCTTCATTTCCTCCTGCTCTTGGTTTTTAAGCCTTCTCTTATGTGACTTACTGTCTAGAACAGCTTCCCTCTGTACTCCTCTCCCCTTTCAAATCCTTCCTTAAACCACAGCCACTTCAGCAAGTCCTCCTTTTCAGAGCAGTAATCCCCAGTTATGCCATAGCCCACAAACATTATCTGGTGTCATGTCAAGCACGTGTTCAGCCTCTCAGGAAGTCTGGGGAAGTTTCTGAGATGGAGCAGAGCTTCTAAATCCCTTTGAAACGTAGCAGGCACCTCATTCCCTTTGGTTCAAACCCCCAGTTCTCCTCCCAGGGCAGGGTGTGTGTATTGGTGCTGGTGCCACGGTGCAGCACCACCACCCAGAGCCAGGAGAGGTTTGTGTTGAACCCCTGATCCCTGGAATCACAGTGATCCAAAGCTTGTGCCCCATGCTGAGATGGGCTGATTCTGGTGTGTCTCATGGGGCTGGTTCTCGCTCCGTTGCTCCTTCCCAGATGTGAATTTTGAGAAAGGCAGAACTTGCTGTGTCTGTCTCATGTTAGGGATCCCACATCATCAGTACCTATCTCCTTGGGAGTGACTGGGATTCCTCCCGGTGGGATCAGCAGCAGGACTGTAGATGCTGTGCTTCTCAGCTACCTGCTGTGAGACAGGTTTGCTGCCAGGTGTATCTGCCAAGCAGATGGATTCCCTGTGCTCCCAGGGAGGCTGTTGCTGTGAGAGTCCTGGACAAAAGGTGACATTGAGCATCCTGGACATGTCAGGAATACTTAGCCTGCTGTGTTTCTCAAAAGAAAAGATATCCGAGCTGGGATTTAAGAGCGGAGTGGCGTGGTCATAAAGGGGTTTAGGACCAGGACTAGGCATGGGTATGACCATGGGATAGCCATGTGTGCAGGGCAGAGAAGTAATTCAGGTGATGGTGGGTCTGCTCTTACATCCCTGAGAGTCTGGATGTTCATACAGGGACCCCAGCAGTCCTACACTGGGCTCAGGAAAACTCAGTGCTAAAATCTCTGTGGGAGCCTCTCGGGTCCTAAGTCCTAAACATGCTTGAAAACTTGCAGTCCCCCAGATTTTGGTCCATTACATTTGCTCCTCGTGTTGTGGTTTAATTCCAGGGAGCATCTTCAGGAACAGTCTGTGAGGAGATGGGACTCTCACAGTGGCTGTTCCAGGTGCAGCTCCCAGGTGACTTTGCCTGATAAAAACTGCTCCCCAAATAGATGTGAACTGTCAGCCATGGTCAGGCCTTAATGAGAGCTGTGCCAGATTCAGCTCTATTAGAAACCCACCTTAAGGGGAAAAAAACCCTCCTAAGGTGTCCATGTTTATCCAGGAGGGTAAAACACAACTGTCCTGGGGAGGGGCTGTGGTCCCCAGGCTCAGGCTGGGCTCACTCTGGGCTCTCTCCCCTAAGCAACAGCTGGCAGCAGAACCCACACAGCACATTTGTGGGATATGTTCCCTTCCATTAGAAAGATGAAAGGTAAAAGAAGGAGAGAAGGCTAATCCTGATCGATTGCCAAAATCATAAAAAGCTGAGGGAGAAAGAGAGAGAGAGAGAGAGAGAGAGAGAGAGAGAGCGCAAGGGACAAACCCGCTGCAAATTACCCAGTGAGCCCGAGCTGGAGCTGGGGCTTAAACCCAGGGCTGCAGAATTCCAAGGCAATTCCTGTGAGCAGGAGGCCACTTGCATGGGCTGGCTTCCTGCTCTGGCTGCTCCTCTCCGAGGCAGCAGAGCTGCTTGCAAAGTGTCAGAGTGGCAAAACTGGGGCCAGTCAGAGCTGCCTTTGGAAGCACTGCAGTGCAGGGAGCCCTGGAGTGACTGTGGGATGCAGGATCACATCCCCTCCTGCTGCCCTGGGACACTGGGGCCACCTCAGGGAGCTCCTCGTGGAATTACCTTGTGGAATTACTGCCCTGGGTGGGGCCGGGGGGGTCACTGGCTGGGGGTTGTGCAGGAGGGAGGTGGATGAACAGCAGAGGATGACCAGTGAGGGGGGACAGGCTTTCCATTACAGAAAGCTCTGGATTTATTTCTGTTCATTCACTGCAAGTCAGAATCCATTCTCTTCATCTTTATTCTTCCATGCCGTGACACCTTTAAAATCCATGGTACATTTAACTTCTGATTTTCATTTAATACCTTTTAAAGTGATCTAATGCAGACAGATTACAGACAGTGAGGGTTACTGTCCTTTGGTGGAAATACCCTGTTTAATAAAATATTGTAAGACAGATTGGCCACTCCATGCATTAAAAAAAAAGAAAGATATACTAAGTTTAGATGCTATAGCAGTAAAACTTTATAGGCTTATCAATTCTGGACAGTCATACTCTCCTGAAGTTTTCACATCACCTTGCAAAGGCAGCCAGCTATCCTGGTTTGGAAATCAGAACCAGTTGTTTTTGCAGTTTGCAGTATTTAATGTAGATCTATGTAAATTGCTAGGGGAGGGGGAGGAAAGCAGTTTGATCTTAAAATATAATTTGGATTGTTCTCATCTTTTCCTGTAAAGGCTGTTTTGATCATTTGTTGCCACCTCCCAGTTTTCAAACACCTCAATCTCAAAAAGTTCTGATACTTTTAAAGATAAGGATCAAATTTTATGTATTTTTGTCTCTTAGTTCTCATGCCTTTGACATTCAGGTTTGCAAACTTCCCCTATCAAAGGGCTTTAACATCTTTCCTTTTTTTCTTTTTATTTTTAAATGAAAATTGACATTCTCATTTGTGACTGTAGGAGCCAAGACTTTAAGAAAAATGCCAAATACCACAATACCTATGGGAATTTGCAACCTTATTATTAATAATGGGCGCCTCTCACTTCTCTTCCAACCTCCTGAGATTTTGATGTTTCATCTAAATCCACCCAAATTCCTGTGATCTTTAAAGGTGGGGAGACAGTGGAAAAGTACTTCCTCGAGAGAAGAACTGATTACAAAGCATGGATCTGGTTTCGAGTTTGAACCTCTTTAAACATCAAATATTTTCAGATCTGAGCTTTGTTTTTTTCCCCCCCACTTCTTTTTTGTTTTACTGGCAGAACGAAGAATTTGATTTAACGTTATATGCCTGGAAAAAATAAAGCATTTAATTTACATTTTACAAGGCAGTTATTGCAGGTTAATTAAATATCAATTGAATGTTATAGGCCATATTAAGATTTATTAATAACCCAGCAGATAAATCTCCCCGGAATTCAATTAAATGAAAATCACATAAAAATATATGTGCAATTTTATTCATATAGTGCATAAAACTCGTGAATTATAGCACAGCATTGTACAGTAAGTTGATTAATGGGAATTAATTGCTGAAACAGAGAAAAATCAATTTAAACTTTCTGTAGCAGCTATAGGAAGCACGGTATGGTTCTCCCACAGCCTTGGAAAGCTGAGCCCGTGTCTGCACTCTGTGCCACGGGATGAGTGTTGGAATAAATGTGCTTCCTCTCCTTTCACCTGCTTTAGCTCAGCATTTTGGGCTTGGAGAAAGGAACCAGTCACTGTTGCCAGCACGTTCCTGGGAGATCATGGTAGGACTGAGGCCTTTCAGAGGGGAAAGCAGCAGCACAGTGACACGGGCGGGTGTCCCTGGCACTGAAGGTGGGGTCGTGCCTGGTGCCACAGGCAGGTCCCTCTGCCAGGGAGAGGCTCACAGGTGTTTCCAGAGGTTTGGGACTGTTTGGGCCAATGGATTGTGGAGACTTTTGCCCTCGATGCTGTTTCAGCTCCCTCTCTAAGCGCTCCCGAGGCAGTTGGCAGTGGGAGCTCTGGTTGTCTGCAAGGCCGGGAGCAGAGGAGCGTGTGGGGCTTTAACCAGGATTAGCGAGTGGCTCAAGGCCCGTTCGGGGAAGCAAAGCTTCCGACATCGGAGATGAGGTTCAGGAGCTGGACTTGGAAAATCTCTTTCCAATATTTGCAGGCCGATGGAGGCCTGGCTTGCTGCCATCTGTTCCCTGCACATCCTGTGTTAAATACTGTCAATATGAGATTATGTTCCAATTACGGTACCAGACTGACTGGTTTAACTCCTACCAGGAATCTGTTTTCCTTTATTACTATGCACTAACTCCGTGACTGATGTACCAGACACCAAAAGAGATGGTCTCTGCCCAGAGGGCTTTGTCTGACAGGAACACGCCGGGAGAAGACGGAACGCGGCAGAAAATGCAGATGAATGAGTAACTCGGTTGAGATTCTCTTTTTAATTTGGGGATCCTTTGCTTGGTTTTGTGTTTGGCTTGAGTTGTGATATTACTAAATTCGCTTCCTTCAGACATTGCACAAGAACAGAGACTTCCACAGAAACTCAAACAGGGTTAGGCATGTGGCTCTTTGAAGTGTGCATGTTGGGGGGTGAGCGCTCAGCGCACACATGGGAATATTGCAGGATGGAAAACAGAGGGAGAGCCACGTTCCAGCTCAGACAACAACTCCAGCTTGTCCTGGGGAAGTTTAGCCATGTTTAAAATACAGCAGGTGTCTTTCTGTCAGTGCACTCCTTGCTCATCCTCCCTGCTCCTGCGGCAGAGATTGCCTGCATCTGTCTCCTCTGTGCTCCAGCTCTGCTTCTCCCTGCAATAGTTGTCAGGGATATTAGCATTAAATACTTACTGCCTGGCTTAACTAAGGGGTAAGATAGGATTTAATTTGTATGGCTGAAATCCAATTATATAATGGAGCCCCTGGGGGAAGCAGTTATACCTGCTGAATCTCTTGGATGAGTAATTGTGCACAAAGGCTCCTCTCCAGAAGTAGAAACAGATCTGAAATATTTTTTCTTTTCTCTCTTTTTTTTTTTTTGCTGCTGCTGTTACATAATAGGGCTGAGACCCTGAAAAGAAAAGCCAATGACAACCCAATGCAGTAGAAAGAATTAAAGCATTGCCAGGGGAAAACAAGTTATAATCTGATAAAATCAAGGATCTAACAGGAAGTCTGCTGCAGCATTAGCTTGGAGGAGCCAAAAGGCAGGGCAGCCAAAGGAAGCTTACTCATCTTTTTGGAAAGCAGCACAGAGGCTTTGCTGTCTAACTTTTCCCCCCATTTCTGCCATGAACGGGAAGGGGAATCCTCTGCTTGCTTTTGTCAAAGCTTGGGAGGTAGGTAGGTATGAAAAAAAAGCTGAGCAGCCAACTAATTCAGATGCTTTTGAAAAATGCTGCACTTAACCACCTTTGAAAATCCCTGCTGCTTATCCTGCATGTCATCTGCATCCTGATAAGCATCAGAATCAGAGGTGATGATGAGCAGGACAGGAACAAAAGCATGATGAGGTTCCCAGCGAGGTTTCTGAAAGCAGGCAAGCTTGTAAGGCATTAATCTCTGGGATAGTATTGGGGCTTGACAACTCTCCCATCTGATATCTCCAGCAGCTCCAAATCCCACAAAGGAACACACTCAGGGCTCTGAATGGGACCGGAGGCACCGACGTGTTGTTCTTGCGCAAGCGTTCCCGGGGCTCGGGGTGCCAGATTTAATTCTATTTTTAAACACAGAAAGCAAACTTTTATTCTTTTCTAACGAGTTCTGAGTGGAAAAATAAATTTCTCCATTCTCTTTGATTCCATGGCTACGGGAAGATAAAACTGCTTCCAGACAGCCAAGGGAAGTCCAGAACTCCAAGCGCCCCAGACTGAGGACAGACCTGGCTGGGCAGAGGCTCCCACCCCTGCCTGGGAAGGGATTTTAATTCTTTTAAAAAGCATCTAAAGCCCAGCGGGTGCAGCACAGGCTCCCACGAGGATGGTACCTCTTCCCAGACTCGCAGCTCCACCCAGTGGCTCTTTTTTGGCAGGATAAATCCATCGTTTCAGAAGCGTTAAAAACCTGTTGAGGTCAAGGCGGACACACCGGGGCGATGCCCCTGGCGATGTGCACGAGGGATTGAGGGTGGATTTCTTCATCAAATTCTTAAAGGGCTGTCAGCTACCCCTTGGATAATGGCAAAAAACCTGCAAAGAGACTTTTAGCGAAAATAGAAAACCCAGGAATTTTATTACTCCCTTAAACACCACCACCCCCCCCAATCACAAATGGTAGGGGGAAAAAACAGTAGGGAGCTGCTCACTTACACACTTCAACCTTTCAAATTCTCTGTGAGCAGACTGCAACAGTTTTGCCCGAATTTATTTGTTTTGTGAAGTTAGTAATGAATTACCAGAGCGACTGATTTCTGATTTGCAAGCTCGTTTTGAAAAAGAGTGAATGTGAGAGTGAGTTTCAGCAAATGTAACTTGGCAGCTCACGCTGTATTGCTCCACTTTCCTTCCTGGGTAATTACAGGGACTAGCAGGAAGCAAATTTTGATCATTTCTGTCAAGGATGCCATGCTGAAACTTGTTTTTTCCAAGATTATTGGGGTACTTGTAATTAAAATAAGCTTTGATTTGTGCATGTGCACACTTTTACTCTAGGAACACTTGAGATGGGTGTGTATTCACAGAACACAGAAGTGTGATACCAACAGAGTTAATTTTAGATTTGAACCAGCATTGTAAAAATGCCCCATTCCTCCAAGCTCGAGTGAAAACTGAAACCTCAGTTGTGCATAATGTAGATTTAGCAGCCCCTCCGTATGTCTTAAAAATAGAGAAGCCGATAAACTGATAGAAACCACAGTTTTGTTGTGAATTTTCTGGAAGTGCCTGTCCCCATCTGTGTTAGGAAAATATCATCTGTGAAACGCTGCTCCCAGATGGACTGTGTAGCTGCAGTGCCACAGAACGAGCTGAAGTGACCTCTCCCTCCTGAAGTTCAAATGTTATTTAGCATAAATGCAGCCCCTCAGGCCTTCACTTGAAGTTGCTGTTTGCCAGCACAGCAGCTGAACGTGGGCTTTAATCTGCTTTGCTTTGCTGCTGGAGTGCTGGGACAGACTTAAAAATATATGAGCCCCACCTTTGAGCTTGTAGACATCAGTTCTCCATCCATGCAATTAGGAACTAAGCCTATACATTGTTAGCACAAGAGGTCGGAGGTTTCTTTTTTGAGGGGTAATATTTCTAAACAGATGTAATATTCTACGTGTCAAAAATAACAGGAAGCATCTTGCAAAAGGTAGTTCTGGAAAAGATGTTGATTTTTTTTTTTCTGTTTATTAAATCCTAAAGCAGACCAAGAACTTGCTGGGTTTTCCTCATCTTCCCCAGAAGTATCACTTTTCATACAAAAAAGTCTGCTTTTTATACAAAAGAATACCCTTTAGTGTATGAGCCAGTACAGACATCCCACCAGTTGTCTGAGGCCATGGCTCCTTAGGCTGTGGAACAAAACTGGTTAACTAATTTCACCAAAAAGGTGGTTTTTGGGCACCCTTTCTCATCTGAGCCTGTCTGTCCTGTTCCCAGGAGTGACCCCGTGCAGTGGTAGCACCATGGGAGTGACTGAGGCCCACGTGGCTGCAAGAGAGGAAGCTTTCAAATGCACCCCGGTGTTTCACAGGAGAACACAAAACAGCTGAGATTTTGGCATGACAGGTGTATGTATTTGCAGCCTCAGAGTTTTGCTCCTTCTCTGTCTCAGCACCAGGATTTCTGTGTTTGCAAAGTTCCTGCCAGAGATCTGTGTGCGCTGCGAAGCTCAGGTGAAACCTGCCGGTGCGATGAGCGATCTCCTCACCCCAAAAGTGGGGTTCAGTTCTTCTTCCCAGGAAGCTGGGAGGGTTCCAGGTTCCCCACAGCTGCTCTCAGCCACTGGGCAGTTCTGTGCTTGCTCTCGTTCCAGGTGAACAGGGGTTTGTACCCGAAATGCCTGGAGGCTTTGTCTGTCTCGTAGACAGAAGGTGGTGACTATTGTGTTCAGCAAAGGCAGGTTTAGGAAAGGCTGTGGCTTCCAGAAGGGCAACAAGATGACCCTGATTATCCTGTGCAGTTGTATCATTAACCACATCTTCCAGTAGGGGATGTGGGAGCCCAGTCTCACCGAGTGGTCTGCAGTGGACAGCAGCTGGTGCCTGACCAGGAAACCTTTCCTGGTTGGAGTGTCATCATAGGAATAGTACACTTGTCCTGCCAGTAAGCCTGGTTTCAGCTGCAAGTTCCTTGCTGCAAGGACATGCATCCATGCAACATTCCCTGGAGAAATAAGAGGGGGAGAGAAACAGGTATTCAGGAGGAGTTGAATTTCCCTGTTTGCTGTAGAATGAGTACATTGGATCTGCCAGCCTCAGTGCTGGGAAGCAGAGCACTCATGGTGTGCTTAGCTGCACTGCAGAGAGACTGAGGAGTTAATCCAGGCCTCCAAGATCCTTTAAACCTTTGGTCTCCTCTTTGAGCTGGACAATTAATGTGCCTCGTGATCCTGGTTCATGTGAAGGGAAAGGGCAGTGTTTTGTAGTGAGAGGAGGATGAATGAGAGTCAGTGCTCGAGGGTTTTATTCCTGGTTCTGCTGTGAGCCTTTGAAGAAGTCACTTCATTTATCTGGGCCTGATTCTTCTCTGAGAGCATTTTCAAAATACTGTTATCTGCACTTTTGGGAAAAGACATCTAAGTGTGCTGCATGGAAATGACTGAACCCCTGCATGATTTAATGGCGAGTTGTACTCCCCTGAAAGGCATTCAGCACCACAACAAACTCCTCCTGTAGGCTTTGTGAGTAGTTTCTCGTGCTTGCTAAAATCATTTATGTAGCACAGCCTTTTCTGTAAGGAATTTGACAAGTAGTGGTAAGATGATGTCTTCTAATGAAGAAAAAATTAAGTATCTTTTCAAAGCAAAAACATTTTCAAAATATTACCTGAATTTCTCTCTCTGCCCCCCATATACCCCCTTAAACCTTTACCAAGGAAAAAAAAAAGAAAACCCTTCCCAGGAAAACAGTTGTAGTGAGCAGCTGCCTGAAAAATTCTTTAGTTTTGTGGCTGTAAGAACATTTGTGCTCATTGACCACATTCATCTCTCTGTCTCGGGAGATTATGGTTAAGGTGATGTGTAAAACCCCCTGTGGCTGAAGCAGGCAAAGAGCTCAGTCCCTCACCCACGTAGGTGTGATTCCTCTCCGAGTCCTCAGGCTCCAGGAAGTTCAGGACACCCTTCCTGGCCTTGGCCCCCCGGTAGAGCTCCAGGAGAAACGCTGCCTTCTCCCCATACACGGTGTTGGCACGGATGATGCAGGTGGTGAGTTTACCACCATGGCTCAGCTGGAAAATGGGGGAGGGATGTTAGTGAGGGATGGACTCAGAGGTGAAATTCTTCCACTGTGGGTTTGCCAGATAAACTCAAAACCTGGGAATATTGGCCTAGAGGAGCTGCCATCTGCGGAGGTGCTCTGGATGTTTGGGACACGGTTCGGGTGCCTAAAAATGCCAGGAGGTGCCCAGTTTGATTCTGCTTTTTTTTTTCATAGCTCACCTGCACCCACACATGCTCCCTGAGAGGTGCTGGATGGAGGGAGCTGGTGGCATGAACTCTTCTGCAGTTGTTATGTATAAATGAGTTTTTGCAACAACTAAAATCGGGTACCAGAGGAGACCAACCAAGCTGAGTGGCCTCAAACTGTAACGGGGGGAGAGATGCTCTAGGCAGTGATTTAGGACACAGGTCTCATTTTTACATTCTGCTTCATTCCCTAGAAGAACTGCTCTGCCTGCTGACTGCACTGGCACTCTCAAAGACTGGCCAGCTGCCTTAGGTAGGGGGCTGACTCTGGGTGCACCAATATTTTTGGTTCTGAAGTCACTCAGACATGCCTGGAAATTATACTTTTATGCAGTATGAACCAGGTGAACCTGGTTTCTTCAACCCTGATTTAGCACAGCTCTTTCCAAAGTCACAGTCCTGCTGGAGCTGAAGCACGGGCTCAAAGGGAAGCATCCTTTGATCCTGCCAGAGTTTGGCAGCTTCCTGCTGCTGTGGGAATACTGGGCTTTGGGAAGCTTAGGACATTGTGGTTTGTGCATCAAATCAAGGCAGCAGTTGGATAAACACTTAGACAGGAGCTGTGGGGTCTTTTTAACCAACTCCCTCCTTTCCCCATCCTGTGCTGTAATCCCAGGGGTGCTGCCGTTGGATTTGGTACCTTTTTTCCGTTGGCTTCAAGTACAAGTTTTTCTGCCATGGCTTTTGTCTTCCCATAGGGCAGCTCCACTTCCCCACTGTACTCAGTGTCCTCATTTCCTCTGGAACACATTGGGAGAGATGGTGAGTGACCACAGGGTTTGGAGACATCTGTCCCAGCGGGATTTCCTCTGCAGTCCCTGCTCCCCGGGGACGGCTGCTGGCTGGCAGCTATGGGAATCTGAGGTCCCTGCTGCAGTCTGGGAGAAGTAAGGCCCCAAGAAACACCAGGTGGTCCGTGGTGTTCACATCCAGGTTGGCATGAGGGCACTGGTTTGATTTCTGAGAGCTGGGTTTGGTTTTGTCCAAGAGTGTGATGGAAGCAAATAATATCTCAGTGGGCAAATTAGAAGGCAGTGGAGTTACATTGTTCAGCCACTCACAGAAGCTGAACAAGGTGAAAAGAGCATAAGAAGATGGAAGGCAGGAAAAATGAGAGCAATCCTGCTTCATTTTTTCATTAGAGGCAGAGAAAAGCCTCTCATGAGCCATAAACTAAAAGGAGAAGCTGCTGCTTAATTTTCTCACAGAGTTGATTAAAGTTGGGAGGCATTTGCTGGGGATGTGATAGAGCTGCTGGTGATCTGGAAGCCTTGCAATCAGCAGGTTTGTGCTGGGATTGTTCCTTCATCTCCCCTAACAAATTAAGTTTGAGGGGAAGGCAAAGCAATGACCCACAATTAAGGGCAAGCAGGGCTCCAGCCGTGCTGGGGACACTGGGTTGTGGCTGTGGAAGACAATGTGCTCCTTTGCAGCCTCCCACCTCACAGCTGCAAAGGGGAAACCCTTGGGAACTAAAGTGTAACTGGCCTCACAGGGCCTGAAATAATTCCAAGGAGAAACAAGAGAGCAGCTCTATTCCTCACCAGGCTGAAGGTGTTTTGTCCCAGTGGTTCTAGATCAGACTAGTTCTTCACTAATTTGGATTTGCTTAAGCAAATCCAGTGGGCTCTGGAGGGGCTGGGGAGTGAAGAAACCTTGTTTGAAGCATTGGGAAGGACCAGCCATGAATACTGTGTGGGCACTTGCTCCCCTGCTGCCACGACTAGCATGGATCAGCTCTCTCTCCCTCTGTGTGCTGCAGGAGACTTTCTTCCTGTTTTTGAATTCATTTACTCTATATTTTGCTCTCTAAGAGAAATCCACTCCAGGCAAACCCAGGACTCTGCCAGGCATGAGGCACCCCATGCAGGGCAGTGGGGAATTATCCTGCTCCTTTGGCAGATGGGGCTTGGATGCACCTCTTGGAAGGGTTGAGTGGCCTGTGATGAGTTCACACAGCAGATCTGCAGCAGAGGTGTTTTTGTCAAACACTGGGCCCCGGGAGGGCCAGCTCTGTCTCAGGCTCCCTGTCTGACCTTGGGCTACTTGCTTTCTCTTTTCTCTGCTCAGATCTCCATGTGTAAAACGTGGATAATGCTGCTGCCTTGCTCCTGCCTGTTCAGCAGCCCAGTGTGTTGTGTGCCAGGTATCCCAGCTGAGATCAGGGGCTTCTTGTGCCACAGCAACAGAAATAAGTTAGGAGCATCAGAAATGCAGCCTCCTTGCACACCCTGGGCTTTTATCACAAAACCCTCCTCCCTTTCCCTGTCTTTACAGGTGATGAGCAAGAGACAAACCGAAAAACAAGCGAGACAAAAGATAGACTGTGCAAGGTTTGTTGCAAGCCCGGGAGAGGCCCAAGACAATTAGGGGGGGTTATCTAGAAGTTCTAGTTTTAATTGCTTTCTCTTTTTTTTTTTTTTTTTTTTTTTTTTCCCCCTGTCCAATTTTTTTTTTCTTGCCTCGCAAAGCTTTTAAAAAGCAGCAGCTTCACAAAGGGGGGCGAACCCAACCCGGCGTTCCGGGGCTGCAGCGCTCCACTCGTGTGCCTTCCCCCTCCCCTCCGGAGCTCGGGAGTAACAAAGAGCTCAGCACAATGCTCCTGCTTTTCAAAACGATCAGAGAGAACCGAACGCTAATCAGAGCGGAGCAGCGTTGTCAGGAGGGATCTCAGCCGTGGCTGTCCCGGGGGGATCGGGACTGACAGAGGCATTTTCTATTCTTGTCGGATGCTGAGGTGTGAGCGCCATCCCCGCACCCATCGCCCCGGCCGGAGACTCACCGGGCTTTGTCTGTGTCAACGTAAAAGGGAGTTAAATAAATTACAGGAGGAATGGTGGAGGAGGGGGACGGAGAAAAAGGGGAAAGGCAGGCGGGATCGTGGACTGAGGGAGAGGGTGGAACAGGTTGGGTGGAGAAGGGGGAGATGAGAAGAGGAAGGGGAAAGGTGCTTTCAGTCTGGAAAACGGGACCGTATTTCACTGCCCTCCAGCCATCCCTGGGCTCCCTATTGAGGCACGTGGTGTAAGTTTTGACTGGGGGGCTGACCCTTCTCTCATTATGTAATTCCATTAGTTTGGAATCAAAATCACTGGAGAATGAAGGCCACCCTCTTGAGCTTCCTTCCAGCTTAATGGCAGAACCTGAGTGTGTTCTGCCAAATGCCTTAGAGGCTCTAGGTGTGCTTTTATTTGCATTTGTGGTGGGGAAGGGTTGGGATGCAGTGGGCAGAGGATGTCCAGATGTAACTCCACGAGCTTCAGCCCAGCTGGGTTTTGCTTGCCCCCACTGGTGCCACCATTACAAGCCAAAGGACTGTGCTCTCAGGCAAGATCTAGGGTCGGTTTTTTCAAGACATCTATTCACATCTGTCTTTTCAGTCTCAGGACTAAAATACTGACAAGGATGTGCCTGTATCTACATTCATTTTTAGAAATGACCTGGATATGCTAATGAACAAATTCCATAGCTTTGCAGTGACACAGACTCTCTGGTGCTCGTGGTCCCAAGTGATTTGTTGCTCTCATGATTTTTTTTTTCCCCATAAGCCAGACATTTATTCTACAGATTTGGGTACTTAAACACTTTTCAAACCTGGGTTTGAAAAGACATAACTCCTGGTCTTCAGAAATAGCAGCCCTGTTGTCAGTGTGCAGGTACTGCTTTCCCAGGAATACCAAAGGTGTCCCAGTGCTGAGCCCTTAGTGGGAGTGGCAGCTGATTGTGACAGTCAGTTCTGGAGATCAAAGATCTGTAAGCAAAAAAAAACCTCAGAATTGTACTTCTGACCACTGTCTTTGTGTTGCTGCAAATCCCACCTTTGCCACAGAGAGTTTTCTGAAGCTCTGCTGCTTCTTCTGGGTCTGTGGGTCGGTCTCATGGGAGCCACACACAGAGGAGATGGGTTGAGCACAGTGACCCAAAGTAGTGGCATCAGGAGTCCAGGAATCAGCCCTCATGAGCTTGTTGCCAGGAAAACGGATTTTGAGGGATAGAAGGACACAATTTACAGGTCAGACCCAGGTAACAGAAGGGTGTAAATACACCTGAATGCTGCAGGGAACCTTCACACCAATACGTCTGTGCCCTGAGACTGTGTGGCCAAATTACTTTCTTCGGAGTTAGTGCTACGTGAGATTTGCCCACATCTGATAGCAGGAGATGGGTACAGGCCTAATGGCAATTCCCTATGGAGCTGGGAAGAGGAAGGAGAGTGTGTTGGCAGCAGTAGAGAGTCACCTGCCCTTTGGGTTGACTGTAAGGGGAAGAGCAAAAACTGTGACCTGACACAGAATGCAACTTGACCATGTCCCAAACCTCAAACATCTGAGACCTTCTCTGACACTGATTTTAGGGCTCAGAGGAGCAGGGATGTGCACGTGGGGTCAGCCTGGAGGTGCAGCTGGGCCATACAGCTCCCACCCAACCCTTTCAGTCATTGCTGTCACAGCTGGCCAGGCTCAGGTCGGGAAGAGGTGGTTCCCGAATGGGAAGAGCGGCAAGGAAGGATTTTCAAGGAAGAGAAGAGGAATAGACAGGAAAGGCAACACATATCTCCTTTGTAGCCACAGCTGAATTCTCCACCTGGTTGCAGTTTCACTGCTGTTTAACTGGAAATCCAGAAGGATGGAGAAGATTTGCTCTTCCTCACCTGAACATGGGCTCGCACAAGGTGTTGGGTCCCACCGCGGCAACGGAGCTCGTGTGGACCAGGTATGGAACGTCCAGGGCACAGCAGGCCCTCAACACATTTTCAGTACCTGTGGGGCAGGTTGGGAAGGACAGGCATCAAACACCTTGCCTTGATTCCTCTTGTTCAGGAAGGACAAATGTTAACCACCTTGGCTTGGTTTCTCTGGTGCGACTCAAAAGAGATTTCCGGGCTTGGGATGCTGACACTTGGGGCAGATCCAGCTTTATTGTGGCTGGGAAGATGCAAAGCCACAGGTCAGGGCTGCAGTTCCCTGGATGTGTTTGCATGGGAATGGATGGTTTATAGGAGTAGCAGTTCCATCTGTAGCTTTAATGTGGCTTAACCTCTGTGGCCATTGGCCACTGACTTAACTTGCACTTTCTGTTTGCTAACAAAAAGGAAGCTGACAGCTTGGCAGAGCAGAACTCTTTGTTTTCCATCCTTTTTTTGATTTGTGGACAGACTGCTGGGTGAATTGCAGCCTTCTGGCAAAAGGCTCAGTGTTTTAGTTGCATGTGTGGCTCTACAGAAGCCCTGCAGGGTGCTGTAGGGTGAAACCATTGCAGCAGGCCCTTGAGAGCTGCAGAATTTTAAATAAGACAGCAGGGGAAGCCCACAAGTCCACATGAAGAACAGATGAATCCAAAGCATGGTTTGGTTTAAGGAAAGTTGGTCTGGCTGAACCTGTGGGTTGGTGTGTGTGTGGCTTTAGTTTGGTTGGTTTGGGGTGTTCTGTGGGTTCAGATATTTATGACTCTTCCAGAGGTGGTTTTTGCTTTCCTTGTGATTTTGATTCAAGCTGATCTGTGAGAATCTCAGCGACAACAGCATAACCATGGCTACATTCTGAGGGCCTTCAAATCTGATAGGGCAGATCTTGAAGGAAGCAGCTCGTAGGATTGGTTTCCAGAAACCTCCATACTATTTATACTTGGCTAATCAGACTCTGCCCCTGAGCCTCCCTGCAGATCTTGTGTGGGAGGGCTCGTGATTCCTGTTCTCTTTGTTGTTAAAGGCATAATCTGAAATTATCAGGGAAATCCTGAGTTTAGGATAATTTCAGAGGGCGTGAATCAATGTGAAGTCCTGGTGGAAAAGGATCAGTCTACTTCTCCATGAGCCTATCACAATATGTAAAATTAACTGAGAACCCCTGCTGAGAAACATGACTGGAAACAGCTGAGTTAAAACCCATTCAGCTTAACAAAAAGCAGATTAAAAAGTCTTTAAGTGACTAGATGGAAAAAATAATTCTTGTAGAAGAGAATTCTTCAATCTAGTCAACAAGACTGTAACAGGATTCGGCAGCCAGTGGTTGAAACAGAGGAGAGAATCAAAGCAGAAGATGTAAATTTTTGCCAGAAATGGGAATTAACCACAGCCACACCACCACTCCTCAGCATTGTTATGGCTTGCTGAAAGACATGATAGATAGCCCATTAACTTGCACCCTTAATTGGAGGCAACAAGTCTTTTGAAAAAGATTGGTCCAATTTAGCCACAAATTGTTGGGCTTAAGGCAATAATTGGATGAAATTCTGCGGCCTGAGCTGCACAGAGGAGCCAGCTAGAGGATTATATACTTGACCTGTTCTGACCCTACTTTTTTCCATGAAGTCTGCAGCAGGTATCAAATACCATTTTTTTTCTTTCATCTGCTGTGATTTTGACAGAAAAGTTTAGACTACTCTCTCCCTTTGGGATTTGGAGAAGTCCTGGTGAGGGCAGCAGGTTTGTTTTAGGGAGGTCTACGTGAAGCCATCCAAGGGGAGGCAGAAATGCAGGACAGGCTCCTGTTAAGCCATCCCAAACTGTGCCCCTGAGGGACACTCAGTCATGCTGGAAAATCTTTGCCTGTGTGGTTTTCTGGGAATGTCACAAACATCTGCAAGAGGTTTGGTTTGCTGAAGAGGGGAGTGCCCAGTGTTCTCTAAAAACCTGCCTGTGCTGAAGTACCTTGCTCACAGCAAGCACAGTGAAGAGGAAGGTCTCACAAAGCCATTACAAGGCAGTGGGAAGCCTCAGGCTCTGAATATTCTCAGTACACAAAGAGCACAACACAGGCTCTTAAAAGCATCTAGTTTTGAAAACAACAAAAAGAATTTAAATGTTACCCTTGAATGTATCAGCAAATAGTAGAAGCCCTAAGCAGTAACCGGGTTTGAGATATACATATAAAAAAAAGAATTAAATCCCTTCCCTTTGGTTAACGACTATTTTGGTAGCTAACAGCCTGAGGTGCCACTGGAATTGCTGCTGTAATAGGGATTTCATTATTTTTACAGCCTGTGCTTATTTCCTGGATTTATGAACAAATTTTCTTTGAGCAGATCTTGCACTGAACACAAACCCGGCTCTTGGTGGTCGGAAGGACGAGGTGTGGAGCTCTCAGTGCACGTGGCTTGTAGGTACATGACAGTTGGGAACTCTGACTGTGATTAAAATAATGTCACTCCCTTCTGGTGGGTGCAGTTGAAAGGGTACAGCCTTGTGCAGGTGTATACAGGGCTTTTTTTTATCCCTGGGAAGATGCCTAGAACAGGGGTTAACTTTTAATTGTTGTCCTTGTCACACACTAAACAGTTTCTTACCACTGTGGGCATGTTCTGGATCCCTTATCAGGGAAAGTTATACCCTGGACCAGAACAGCTGTATAATAACTGAGCCCAGAGCTGATGTTTTGAGATGAGGAGCAGCATGACCTGCCCCGAACAAGGACAGAGGGGCAAAGGCAGAAACTTCTCCACTGGAAAAAAAAAGGTCCTGGGCACCTTTCCCATCTCGTAGCAGAGTGGTGTGCGTGGAATTCAGGACAGGGTGGGGATTTCTGAGGGATCCTCCACATGAGCAGCTCAGGGAAGGGTCTGTGGCTGCAGCTGTGGGAGTGTTTTGACATGGAAACCCTCAGTGAAGAACTACCAGGCCAAAGTGAGAAGAGGACAGGGTTATTCCTCATGAACTGAAGCGAGGGAGTGCAAAACCTGAGCGGGTGTTTGTCACAGCCTCTCGTGTGACTGCACCAGGGTGTGTGAGGAAGCTAAGGCTGGGTTTAATTCCTTGTTTTCCAGAGCTTACCCCCCACATTGATGGCTCTCATCTCCCAGAAGGGCACTGTGCCTCTGTAGTCCACGAGGGCAGCCGTGTGGATCACCACGTGCACCCCCTGCATGGCAGCCAGGAGCGCCTCGGAGTCCCGGACGTCTCCTTTCACCACTGTCACACGAGTGGTGGCTGTGGGAAAAGAACAGAACCAGAGATGCAAGGGGGGGGAAAAAAAAAAAGTACAAACCAACATCCTCACCTTCCTGCAGAGCGAGGATCCTGCGTGCAAAGCCTTGCTGTCTGCAGGGCAAGGCCGTGACTGTACCGATGGAATACGTCACGCCAGGGGGAAATTCATCCCTGTTTCCGAGCCCCAAGAAGCCAGATGTGCATCTGGTTTGATTCAGCACAGCACTCTGCATGAACAGTGGGCCAGAATAGCTGTGTCTGTCATGGCAAATCCCCTGTCTGCGTCCAAGGATAGTGCTGAGAGCAGGAGACACTCGGCCCAGAGCTGCAGCTGGACGCAGGGCTGCTCCAGTCCCTGGGGATTTGGGAAGCTGGACACTTTTTTTTTTTTGCTGGACACTTTCCTTCAGACAGAGGATTTTTAGGGGTTGCTGGGAATAACACCAGGGGACTTCAAGGGACACTGCACAGAGCTTTATTTAAATTGCAAACACCGTAGATGGGAGGGGAAAATAACGTAACAGGTATTAAAAGTTTCATAGGAAATTCCTCTCTTTGAGCCACTCAGAAGGAATTTTTCCCCTATCTCCTTTCTCCCCCTTCTTCTTCCTCAACATAGCTTTCCATACATAGCTACTCTTGGCATCTACTACTAATTTTCTTGCTTTGAGACAGTGTTGCAATGTTTGAGTAGGATTTTTCCCTTTTTCCTTTTGTGTAGTTGGAAACAGGCCAGCAAGGAGCTGGGGTTAGGAGGCTGTACTCCTTGGGGATTTGCAATAATGCAGTCACAGGATTGCTTCAGGAAGGAGAAGTCTCCTCTGCCCTGGACTGGTGGCTGTCTGGAGAGCCCAATGCATCCCGGGGTCAGGGCAGGGATTTCTGAAGGATCCTCCACATGAGCAGCTCAGGGGAGGGTCTGTGGCTGCAGCTGTGGAAGTGATATGACATGGAAACCCTCACTGAAGAACTACCAGGACAAGGTGGGAAGAGAACAGGGTTATTCCTCATGAACTAAAGGGAGGGACAGAATCCAACACAGCAGCTCTGAATGTTTTCTGAGCAGCATGGGATGGAGAAGGAGGCTGGAATTCTACAAAAGGGTCAGGCTGCTTTCTTAATTAGCATAGCAAAGATTTGGTGGACTCACACTCAATATTCTTAATTAATATTGAATGATAATACTAAAAATAATTCAATATTAAAACACAGAGTTGCTTCAGTGAGAGTAGAGGGGAAAAAGAAAGGAGTTGTCCATGTAGCAGAGGTAAAACAATTGCCCAGAGGACCAGGATGTCAGCAGACTCTTGGGGCATTTTTCTGCTTCTCTGTGATTTGGGAAAGCCTGGAACCCATCAGGTTGAAGTGTTAAATAGTCTTTTTTACATCATCTGTCTTAGGGCAGCTGTGTAAGGCAACCATGAGAAATTTTCAGATTGATAAGAGCTATAAGGAGGTGATGGGTGTAACTGCAGCCCTGTTGCATTATCAGCTACTTTGGAGAACTTTTGAAGGCACTGGAAAACTGCAGTAGAGCAAATGAAACACCTGTGCTTAGAAAGGAGGTGAAGAAGAGCCAGGAAATTCCAGAACATTTTGATTTCAACCCCAGGAAATCCAAGAGCACACACTGAAATGAGATGTGTGTGAGCACCTGTGGGGTAATAAGGAGAACAGCAGCAGCTGACAAGGATTTGTCAAGAACAAATCAAGCCAGATAAACCTCCTTTGTTCTCATGACAAGGTAACAGGCTGCAGGGATATTGTGGAACAGGTTGATGCCATCTATCTTGATTTTAGGAGGGCTTTGGAAACTCTGTGTCATTCTCCTGAACGGGTCAGGAAAACACAGGGCTAAATCAGCCCCATTAGGGAGAGCACAAAGCCAGGGAATTAAGGTTCCCAGGGAATTGCCAGCTGTGGTAGGTGCCTGCCCTGGGGCTCTCCGGGGCTTATTGCTGTATTTGAGTCTTTTTTTTTATTGTTTTCATCAAGAATCTGGCAGATTTGTTCATTAAATCAGCAGATAACATCAGACAGGGAGGGACTGGAGGATTAGAGAATGAGCTGAGTGTAACTCAGAGAGGCTGGAAAAGAAAGAGGAAATTTGATAGGAACAAAGAGAAGGCTGAGCAGGGAAGAGGCAGCAGCTCTTCATGAAAGGGTTAAATTGGGCCAGGGCAGCTCAGGAGCTGTTGCCTGTTGGCAACAAGGGTCCTTGTGAGTGGGAAAAAGGCATCACTGTAGTAACAGGGGAAACAGGAGGAGGTATTCCAGGATGGAAGGCACAAATCCATCAGCTTTACACAGCAGTGGGAAGGCCACAACTGGTGTCTCTGCCCGAACCTCAATGCCCCTCTTCCAGAAGGGAGCAACACCAGTGCCCGAGGTACTGATGGAGCAGAGGAGGAAGGAGGGAGTGCTCGTTTAGCCAAAAGGAGAAACCAGTATGGAGTGGAAGGAGGTGGTTTATAGGTGATGGAGATTGTTGTAAAAAAAATTACAGTAATAGTGTAACACCTATTCTAAGGGTGGATGAGAAATGAAGGACTCCAAGTGCAGATTAGGCTGTACCACAGCAGTGGCCTGGTGCTGCAGACATAAATGGGCTGCCTGAGGTGGCCTGGGGACAGGACAGACAAACATCTGCAGGGCTGGTCTGCCTTGGGGCAGAGGGATGGGGTTGGGATGGCCCCTCAGGCTGCTCCTGCCTTGTTTGCTGTGGTGTCAGGCCACAGACCACTCCTGGAGCCTGGATTATGGCACCTCCCTATGGTTTAAACAGCTTTTTCTTCAATTGTGGATGCTTTTAAGGCAATTGGCTCCCTGAAACCCGGGGAAGCCAGTCTGCTGAGTTCATCTGCCAGGGAGGGTTTCTGATATTCTGATATTTCCCTGGGAGACTTCTAAGTATCTCTTCTATCGATATCTCCCCACAGATGGGATCTCCCTTATCACTTTTGCCTCTCTCAAAGCAGGCTGAAGGTTTGGGCAGTCAGACAGAGGGGACCCAGCCCACCATTACCTGAGCTGCCTTGGCTTGTTTTGCTTGGATATTCCTGAATCCAGTAAAACAGGTTGTTTTTTCCCCAGTGCATCTCACTGTACTCAACCCTGGACGAAGGCAGCTCTCAGAATATGATCAAATGGATTAATTTAGTATCTCTGAGAGTGTTTACTGAGACTCACCTCTTCCTTCATATGCACAGGAAAGCTGCTGTAGGTTTCTCCCAATTATTTCCATAATTTATTTCACAATACCTGCAGCAGATGCTGAGTTTCTCTTCTATTATTGTCAGGATTTTTATCTTTCAGAATTGGTGACTGGTTGGAGCAGTTCAGGAGGATGTTTTTGTGTCCCTTTGCTGTCAATCAGACTGGTTGAGCAGAAGCAACTGGGCAGCCAAGTTCCCCTGTCACGTACTCAGTGTGCACATTGCTCCTTACAACTGATCCCTGTCTGGGCACTTAGATCCTCCTGTGATATCTCTGGAGGGTACAGGCTATGGATCTTTTTTTTCTTTGAAAGGTTTTTCAGCACAGGACTAAATCAGAGCTGGAAGTTGTTCTTTATCAAGTCTGTTTAACCCCGTGCCTGTAACTGTGGCATCTCCAACATTATTCCATCTGCCATGAAAGGGAGGGTTCTGGCCACCAAATAGATGGTGATGCTCTTTTCTTACCTGTGGTGAGATTTTCTACTTCTCCTCTTGCTACTGAATCAAAAACTCTGACTTCTTTGATGTAGTCTTGTTCAGACAGGAGCTCTACGATCTTCTCCCCAATAAACCCACATCCTCCTGTCACCAGGTAGACCCAGGCCCCATCCATTTCTGAAGATGTTTCTGAGGTTGAAGGTGGCTGCCAGGATCCTTCTGTGCTCTGCTGAGCTCTCAGCCAGTGTGTTTTCTGAACTAAGTCTAAGGTTTAGCTGTCACAGAATGGTGCTGGCTGAACATTAACTCTGTCCAGTTACACATAAATCAGGTTTTCCTTGGCACAGTCCCACAGATTTGCAACAGGCCCATCCTGGGCCCTCTGACTCAGCCTTTTCCTTCTCCCACAGTAGCCCATGATCAGCAGGGCAGCTCTGGATTGCCTTGGTATGTGGCCAGTCTCAGGCCAAAATCTGGATGCCAGAAGTTTTCCATCCTGGCCAGGCCTTTCCCACAGGCTGCTCTGTCAGCTGGGGCCTCTGGGAGCTGCACAAAGGCTGTGTGTGCTGGAGGGGTGCTCAGGGCAGCCAGTTGTCAGTGTGAAGCTCCAAAGACCTCATCCCCAGGCACTGGTGACCTGTGGAGAGGCTGCAGAGCACAGATCCCTCCAGTGCTGAGCTGGGTCATGCACAGCACAGACAGGGCCAGAGGCTTTGTGGTCACTGGTTCTCCCAGTCTGAGGATCTGGTGTGGTTCTCCTGGATGGATGCTGCTCTCAGTTGGAATACACACACTCTCATGTATATTTAGGAGGGGAAAGTCTTAATGTGAAAACTACCTAGCAGTAAAAGCTCTGCCACATCCTTTGTTAGAAAAGTTCCTTCTCATCATCAGTAAAAGAGGGGCCTGCTGTGTTTTCCCTGCCAGCCTGTGGCTGATACACCTTTACTTGTCCAGCCATGGAGAATGTGTGTTGTTTAGTTTGCCATTGGATTTAAAAAAATCAGATCAGCTTTATCCAGGGTGCTTGATCCTGTCCTAAGAGTGGCATGTGGAGTGGAAGACCTGTCCTGTTCTCTCTGTTTCTCCCATGAAGAGGCTCAGAGTCAACAAAGTCAGACCTGAGCAGTCCCAGGCTCTCTTGGATGCCAAGCAAACTGTTCTTAAGTCTGGAGTAGTCAAATTTTTTTTCAATCCATATTTGCACCAACTTGTCACCATTTTTGGTGAACTGTTCTTAGAGAGGTAACAATGGTAAATAGGGAAATATAATCTCCCTGATTACTTTTCCTTTATACAGTGTAGTCTGAAGTTGCTTTTCTGGCCATAGAGTTGCTTGGGAAGTTTAGGGTGAGTTTGTTCCCATTTCAGGCTCACTGATTTCCCCACCCCCAGGCTGAAATGTGGCAGCAATTCCAACTGTGTGAATGGTTGGGGCCAGTCTTACTAAGGCATTTATGCTTGTCTGCCTGTAAAAAGGAAGGTGTAGAGCAACCTGCTGCTGAGAACGTGGTTAATGAAGAGTTAAGGCAGAGAACTCAAAGAGTAGCTGTGTTTTGTTTGTGAATAAATAGTTTTCTTTTAATCAGCTCCTGCTGCAAGTTCAGTCTGTTCCCCTCTGCCATTGATTTTCTTGTGCTGCATTAAGTGTTAGGAGGAGTCTGTTCCCCTTGCTGTGATTACAATCAGTGGCCATAATGGCCCAGAGACCAACATGGGCCTGATGCTAATTTGGTGCCTGGCAGACCAGCACAGCCACAAATGTCCCAAGAAATTAATTTAGCCTTTTATCCAGCAACTCCCAATCTGTACAGTGGTGATTAACAGAACTGCCTTCCCTCAGAGGACTTTTTGCAAGGATAAATATATCGGAGTTGGAGGTGTTAGGACTCAAAAACCAAGATAAATACACCCTGAGAGACCCAGAGAAGTGCTGCATGGGAATGTTTGGCATCAAGTAACCTTGAGGATGTCCTCATCAGCGATGCAAAGAGCTGTGTGAAGCTGAGGCCTTGACTCTGTGGACATTTCTCAGTGTTTACAAGGCTTAGCCTTTGCTGCACTATTGGTATCTGCATATCTGAGTGTAATCTGATCAGTGGGGGAAAAACTGGCTGGCATTTCCATATCTCTTGTTTTTGTTAGGATATGAAAAACAAGTTCAGAAACCAGAACTGGCACATCTGTGACAGAAGCAGCCCAGGTCCTCTCCTACAGAGAGGAGAGCCTCCCTTTGCAAACAGAGGGGTGTTGCATCCAAATGGGAAGTTGTTCCCAGTGTAGGAAGGTTAAACATGTCCCCACCCACATCCTCCTCTGATAGTTTGAATTGTCATCACAGTCATCACAGGAGATGACTCCAGGGGTCTCCATGAGCCCAGAGGCACATTCAGAGAACACACAAAGGAGGAGGGAAACACCTGGAGGTACCAGGGTGGAGAATTCAGGGAGGGGGCCCAGGCAGCCCTTGCTGTCTTAGCTGAGCCAACTCAACTCCTTGAACTGTGAGGAAACTCAGGGCAAGTGAGGCACGTTACAAATAACAACAGGGTTTAATTCATGCTGGTAAGCACTGCAGAATTCCCTCTCTGCCTTGTTCCTCTGCTCCACCACCCGTCCTCTGAGTGCCCTCTCTCAGCCAAGGCAGAGCTGTGATCCTGGATCTGTACTGACAGAAAACTCCTGCAGGAACACGAGGGTTGTCCCTGTGGGAAGCATCTGCCAGGTCCAGGTAGTGCCTCACTCTGCAGTGCAAAGCAAGATGCTCAAAGGTGACATTACCTGAAGGCTCACCTGGGCTGCCTTTAGTTTAGGAACTGAACACCTCCCCAGGAGGGTGGGATGTGCCCCTGTGTTTGGCTGGTGGGGCTGGGAATGCAGAGAGGTGACTGTGTCCTGCAGGCTGATCTCAGACCCTGTGGAGCAGCACAGCTGACACCTGCAGAGGAGTCAGTCCCACTGAGGGCAGGGAAACTGGGCCCTTTTTGCCCCTCCACCCCCATGGAAGGTGACCAGAAGCAGGGCCTTCATGCACATCTTGTTTTTTAGGAGATCTGCAAATATACAACCAGGGAAAGCTGAGCTGGCAGGAAGAAAAACCAGCTGCCCTGACTTCAGGCTGCAGTTTGCTTGAACTTGCCCTGAACTTTGCAAATAGAGGACACCTGACAAGATATTCATTTACAGTAAGTTTATTTCTCAGTGCATTACATGAAAGGTCTTTGGTATTTGTGGGTCCTTGAATACTGTTCCCACTCTGCTCCGAAAGAAAATGCTGAATACAAAACATTCCATATACAGTAACAAACCCCATAGCAAATAAAGAGAAATAGATATTTTGAACAATAACATAGCAATATGAAAACAGATAAGTAACCATGCAAGAGGTGGAACAAACAGGTTGTGTTTACAACAAACATTAAAGCCTGCCATAAATGAGTTCATCCTGTCAGACGAGATTTATTCTTGCTCTAAGTTAAGAAATTACACATGATTGCAAGATACTGTGTATGGCTGCCCTATAAAAGACCAAATGGTTGTAAAGCTGATCCCCATGAGAGAAGCCAGGACCATTTGCACACATACGAAACACACTGATATAAATAAAAAAGATACCATGTAAAATAACTGGTGAAAAAGTTACCATTTCCTTCTGTGGATGGGAATGTGCCTTGTGAACAGTTATAGCACCTTTGCACCCTTGGTTTCATAGGGAACCAAGACATCACAGAGTGAGTAGTTTAACCCCCTACACCCCCAAACCCCCAGTGGAATGTCATCTCGAGCAAGGCAGAAGCTGTAAACGTGGAGGAGGATGGATTTGCAATAACTGTATTGAGAAGTAATTCCAGAAGCTGATTGTCTTTTGGAAGCCTTTGTCACAGTGCTCAGGGTCCTACATTACAACAGTTCATGGCAGTGAGCCCAGCCCAGAGCCCAGAGAACCTCTGGGGAGCCACAAGCTCTGCCCCACCAGACCTCACCAGCACCTGGTTTTTAAGGCCTGTTCCTCTGAAAGGTGATGGCAAAATGCCTGAGGAGTTTGGTGGGAGCAGTGAGGGCTCTCCTCTCTATTTTATTCCTATTTCCCTGGGTTGCTATCAAGTCCTTACAGTAAGTGCAAATGAGATACTCTGGAGAGAAGCATTCCCTGCCTCCCAGGGTACCAGGCTGCTGGTGAACATGAGGGTGCACGAGTTGCAAAGAGTTTTTGGTTGTGCAATGTTGCTGCTTCTGGTTAGCTGAGGGCAAGGAATTGATCCAAGTCAAAAACACACTGGAGCTCAAACAAACATTAAGAATTTTAAAAAAAAGTCTTAGGAAAAAAATAAAAAAGGGAAAGAACACACTATGGTATTGCACAGTATGTACGTAAGATAAAGCACTAAACATTTTAATTAAAATATATTTCTAAATGAGCACGCATTCAAGATAAATCCCCTTTCTAAGTTACATAGACATGGCAAGAAGCATTTATATGCCCTGGCTGAAATGAACCTCAGTATCCTGCCTATGATGGAAAATGTGGTTGGAGTGGTTTGCTTAGTCATCAATATCATTAATGTCAGTGTGTGAGGCTGTGTTCACCTTTAAAACATAATTAAACGGGGTGGCACAACAGTGTGATCCAATCCTTGTGTAAGTAGAGAGGAATGAAACCCCAGTGGAGAGAGAAAGTCCATTTGGTATAATCCTACTGCCCCCCAATTAAAGATACAGTACCTCATCAGAGAGATGGAGCTAAAGAAAGCAAGAAGTATGGGGAGAAAAAATTACAGAGCTCATGCAGAAGTCTGGAAACGTCAGTAATTAAAATGATCTCAACCCAAACTTAACCAGCCTTTTGACAATTGACTTGGCAGGATTAATTGCAAACAACTTCCATTAAATTTTCCTTTCATCTTACCAGTAATTTGTTTTAAATCCAACCCCCTCATCAATATGAATGCCTCAGCATGAGGAGTTACTAAAGCCTCAGCACTCACCAAGCTCATGCAACAGCTTTGAGTTCAGAAGACAAATTCAGAGGAAGAAAGATTTCTCTTTCACTTCAGTGGGAAGCCTCCAAAACGTCAGGGAAGTGAAAACAGCCTCCTTGTACTCCCTCTTCCCCAAATTCAACCCTGTACCTACAGGACCAGTGAAACTGAATTTCACCATTTCCCTTTTTAAAGATTGCTTTGGTTTGGTTTGGTTCCTGAAACTGCTATGAGGGCACGTTGTTAATGTGGCATCAACTATAGCTGGCACCAATCTG